CCCCCCCCCCCCCCCCCCCCCCCCCCCCCCCCCCCCCCCCCCCCCCCCCCCCCCCCCCCCCCCCCCCCCCCCCCCCCCCCCCCCCCCCCCCCCCCCCCCCCCCCCCCCCCCCCCCCCCCCCCCCTGTACTTCAGGTTTCCTTTCTGTTCAGCCATCGGATTTTGGAAGACACCTAAACCGTAGGACGAATCGTAGAACAATCGCTTATCATTTAGCTTTTATTTGCCTCAAATTTTGTCTTGAATCGTCTGTTATTGAATGCTTATTTAGGGTCATATCTATTCAATACTTTTAATTATCAAACCGCAGTGATGTTTTCTTATCTAAAAACCATTTACTATCGCATCCATATTACCAGATCGTGTATAGATCACAGCATGTGTATCAAATGCATTAAATAATGTTCATATTTCTAAATCTCATTGTCCATAGAACACATCACGTTTATCCCAAGAACCGACAAGTCTTCCTAGAGTGCACAAAATAAAATATGTACCACTACTTGGTACTGTAAGCTTGTAAAATCAGTATTATATTATCAGGCGTATAACATAGTTATCACGAACAGTTAATGGTAAATGACCGAATATGTAACTTTCAATTTTCGCAAACATTATCACCACGTTGAAAAAGCAAACATATTTCTCCAGAAGAATGTTATTTTAATTGTTTATTATTGTGTTTCTATTCATCGTCTCAGTATGATAGATTCATATTTTCATAGATTTCCAATAAAAGTTTACTAACACTACTAACCACTAACGTCGCCGTTCAAGGACTAGAGACCTTCTAAACACTCATTGAATTGCTCTAAATTATGTTTCGTACTGTTCAACGTATGTTGGACAGTGTCAAATGGCTATTCCTACCGCCTCTAAGCATGGAGATGTCAATAGTTCTTGCTGACACCTCATCTAGATGTTAATAGCCCTTCATGCCACTACGTGTCAATAGTCATTGTTGACACCCTTTAGTGGTGTCAGTAGTTCTTCCTACCACTTCCAGTAGGTGTCAATAGCCCTTAGTGCCGTCACTCGGTGGTGTCGATAGCTCTTCTTGCCACCATTTAGTGGTGTCAACAGCCGTTGTTAACACCACCGGTGGTGTCAATAGCCATTCCTTTTTTTTCAATAGTTATCTTTGATCCGTTTTTGGTAAATCCAATTGTCTATTATGGTCTTTCAGGAATGGAAATTAGATACATTATTTGATCTTTATGATACACTAGCAATAGCACAAGTAATAATATTTTGTAATACTCGGCAAAAAACCGAATGGCTACGAGAAAAAATGAATGATCGTGGATTTCCCGCATCACTAATAGTACGTATCAGAAGGAAAAGAAAAGAAACGTTTTCCTCATTTTGATATTATCATCAAAGGTTTTTAAAAAACACCTAAGATTTTTTTAACGATAGCGAATACTTCCGAGCCAGTTACTAATCATTCAGTAGAAACTGGCTCTTTTCTACTATTTTAGTTGAGTTGAAGTTATATTTCTTACCACTTAAAGTCAAAGTATACAGTTCTACAAGTGTCTTAACACTACACCAGACTGACACAGAATTGGATGTTATAAATAGTCGCAGAATGGTGAAAGGACGAGTCAGCAACTAGTGGAGATTGGTGGATTACAGTACAGTCATCTAGAGTGCTCACTAAGGAGAGTACAAGAACGAGTAAATGGATGCCGAGCGCGCACGAGTAGGACTCTCATTTAGGGCTATAGTGCTCAATATAAGAACGAGTCCGAGCATTCATTCATCTATGCGTTTTTCGATCTACTTGAGTAGCATATGTTTCGTTCAGCATGGTGAGATGGATTCAAAAGAATAAGATCTCAATATGAAGGAATTTCGAATGGGTACAACACGCGTATTAGTAATCACAGGTTTACCGTCGTGTAATATCGGCGTACGACAATTACCTTTAATAATTAATTATGAATTGCCTTCTGATAATGAAAGTTATGTTCAACGGTAAGAAAAGGAGCCTTTATTTAGGCATACTGTCTATTAGACATCTGCGGTCATGCCCATTACACATGCCCATGGGTGCCATGGACAAAAAACGTTTAGTGATGGGTGTTGGCATGGGCACAGGTTTTCCGCAGACATATTAGCATTGGTCAGAGTTTTTGTTTTGCAGACTGCCTCTAAAACTTCCCAAAAACCTTTTGTCTTAAAAAAAAGAAACAAAACAAGTAATGTAAACTTTTTTCATTGATCCGTCTGAATCATATGGTTCGTTAACGTTCATAATATCATTTACTTCGCTATCACTTTCTGACTGCTATATATTTCAAAATACTGTGGAATATGGCCCGTTTTGAGTAACTCGACAACAAGAGGTGAGGAAGGTTTTCTACATCTTTGAAAAACCAGGCCATAACCCATAAAGTTCAGATACAAGTTTGTTGATGCTTTTTCATGAGTAGACAGCTCGACGTGTTTCCTCAAAAATTAGGACTACGCGTGTTGTTGATTTTGGACGGTCCAGGTGTGGTATCACATTTCTTTCAAGCCCCAGGACTACTGCATGGTGACTTGAGGTAACGTTGAATTCGCATGAAACGTACAAAATCGATCACACTGAACCTAGTGGTAATGTTTGCTTTAGAAGAAAAATTCAAAATCCCGATGAAAACCGACTCTTACTAAAATTAGGCTTTCGAGGCAGGTTTCACCTAATGTTAAGAAATTCACGATTATCTCAAGAACATCTGAACGAGTTGAAAACTTCAGTTGTTAATGTGTCTGCTTTTAAAGCATTTCACAGACATGGGCATGGATAATGGGATCAGAAAAAACAGGAACGCAGATGTATACTGCCTATTTCAACAATATAAACATAAGAATTGAAACAGAGATCAGAAGGGTTTTCTGTTAACTGTGGTATTTACTTTTTAGCAATGAGTTCTTTTTCGATATTTGATCTTCTTTAGTGTTGGTCGCAGGGGACGATTTGGACGTAAAGGTGTTATAATTAATTTTGCCACAAAGGAAGAATATAAGACTTAAAGATATCGAACAACTGCATAATATACACATTGAAGAACTACCGATGAACATCTCAGATCTAATTTGAATAAAAAAAGATAAAAGAATTCTTTTTCATATTACAGAGTCGATCGCGATAAAAAGAGGCATTTATTGAAATTTCTTCTTTATTTTAATTATACTTAATCCAGTTTAATTGGAAAAACTTTTTATTAAGCATGACAGTTGAGTCAACATTATTTTTATATTTTCAACATAACACTAATGACTAATACAGCCCAACTCATGTAGATCATTTTAAATAATTGATTCACTTATACTATAAAACTGGAATTTTCGCCTTAGATAGTCATTTTCAACAGATAGTATAATTAAAATATTAAAAACAAATAACAGTGCAATAAGATTAGAGAGAAAGAGAACAGATACGAGAATATAAATGGCTTGAAACTTGCAGGATAAACTTTATTATTTTGTCAAGTAAAATTTTGTAATTCTATCGTCAAACGGAATTGAAGACATTTTATCTGTGCAAAAACCTCTCAAAAACTTTCCCAAAAACCGGAGGATCTTTTCTCTCAATATTTAACTCTTTTATTTGAGAGCAGTATAAAAACTAACCCGATTAGTGATTACCCTGAACATTTTAAGTCATCTGAATTGATTTTGAGAGAGATATTAATTTTTTAAGTTTGGATGACAATAGTCCCAAGGAAGAGGAGAAGGTGCTCCACATTCAGGTAAAACTTTAGACTCTCTTCTTCATAAGCGTATAAGATCAGGTCTTATCTTCTAATCAGCACGGAACGAAGCGGCAGAAATCTTCTGATGTGGATGCGATCGTATATCAAAAGTTTTTGGATGCTCGCGAACATGCACTGCCTTTGCACGACGTAGATCTCCAACGCTGGGCACTGAAAGCAGGTAGAGATGTCCACTTGGAAGATTTCAATGCTTCGCATGGTTGGCTCTATAACTTCAAAGTTAAACATCACATTGTATCACGCAGAATAACGAATGTTGTCACCCGTCACGAAATCGAGAACACCGGCGAAATTCTGAGAACGGAGAATCATTTTCGTGACAATTTCTTCAAGTCTTCGTCTCATTACAGTGCACAACAGGTCTTGAACACAGATCAAATGGG